TCCTATGCGCTGATCGAGACAACCGTCGCAACAGGGAATAAGGGCAACACACTGCAGCCGATCAGAGAATATAAAGGTGACGACCAATTTATTAGATTGAAGGAAGTGTATTGCCCAATTTCTCTGTCGTGACTGTTGTCTCGATCAGCGCGTAGCAATGAAAAGWGTGGTAAATAATAAAAGCTGTTGATGGGGAAACATGTTACGATCAACCTCACCAGCAACAAATCTGGGCCTGCTAAAACAAGTGACCTAAGCCGCAACATTTTAATAAAAGCTAATATGAATCGATCAATRCACCTTGTAAATGAAGATTAACTAAAAAAGCTCAATATGTTTGTACAAACCTGTATTTGCAAGCATCTCGCTCCTGAGTTGCTACAAGCAGTCGGAAAATTGTGGAGTCTAAATGTAAGCTCTTGTTCTGGTATTTTCTATCATCTGATAGAGTTAAACAATCATAGATATATATAGATATATATATATTGGGGTAATCCCCATGAAATACCCTATAGAGGGGGTTTCCCTAGCTCACCTAAATCAGCAAAAAAATGTATAATATATAAATAAGATTACGGATTGAATGATTATAATAATTTGTAAAATCAGTATTGAATCCTACTGGGCCAATAAACCAATTAGTTTTAGGACGAGGAACGTGGACCTGAAAAAAAAAATCGGAATTAATGGAAGTTTTTAAATCCTGAATCTTATTAATATTCGAGGCTAAAATTACACTTGAACAAAGTCACAGTTCAAAAACCTTTAACTATTCGCATTGTCTTTGCTGAATAATTGCTAAATAGTTCTTAGTAAGCATTTATACTAAATTAGAACGTAACCAACTACAGCCGGTTTTTGAGAAGGGGGTGGAGGTGGGGGAAATAGGTTGATGGATGGATTGGATGACACTAATTCGGTCAAAAATCAGTGAAATTATCAATCACTTTGTTCTAGGGTAACAGCTTTGAATATAACTCGGGGTAACTGTAGGGTTACAAGCGTAAATTTAATTCGTCTGAAGAAAACTTAAGACCTCWACCTTCCCCTGGAGGAAGTAAAAARYGTCCATTACGCAAYTCACTGAGATTGATAATTAATTTGTCTCGCTTTGCTCGAATAAAATACTCCCCGCGAGACAAGAGAGGTCGAATTGGAACAATACCAAGGACTGACACCAGCAGCTGTAAAATATCATCCCACTTTAGTTACTTATTGTGACTTGTACTTTTAATTAAACTACAATGCTATATTCATGCARAAAATCTAGCCTCCCCAGATTTGTTATCTGATCGACTCGGAAAAAAAATACAGACAAGAATGAAGTCAACACTGACGCCAGCCATAGATAACTACTGGGGTTTTCCCTAGCTCTAGTGATCTGCTCTAGTGTCATAATTCCATGAAACTGATAATTTTTAAGCTGATATATGAACAAGAGTGCATATTACAGCCAACCTTTTATCGGAAAGACTTCCTGTCTTACCACAGTTTAGTCTTCCATGATATCCATTTCATTAAATTTTGCTATCTTAGAGCTGTAGAATGACGTAATGTCTGCAACGCTATGTCACCGAACGTTACAGAGACCCTTATTTGTTTGTTGTTGTTTTTTTTGAACCAAAGGAAATAAATTAATTTTGAAAGTGTATTTGCTAAGTCAGCTCTTCTAGGACACTTTAAGTGGCAAATGTTTATTTTTCAATATTTCTTTACAAAGTTATTCAAACAACAAAATATTAAATAGTATATATCTTGAATAAAAATTTTGCTT